TTTAATGGACAACACATGCATTTCTTAAAACCACTTCTCTTCCAGTGAGAATTATTCTCCCCAAATACCCACCCATCAAAAAGAAAGGTGACATTATTGATTTTCACGATTCGTATTGTCCTTATGCCAATAAGCAGTAGAGGAGAGAGAATCAAAGCCCAAAGAGCATTGATGGCAGAGGCTGAAGTCACAAATGTGTGGTCGAAAGGATCTGTGATCTAGTGCTGAGCAATAAATCCAAACATGGAGAAAAAGCAACAAGCAGAGAAGAGAAGCCTCACCGGGGAGAAGTTAACATTTTTAACTATGAGAACAGTCTGTGTTTCGGGGAGAGTGTAAGCCTGGAACGCACAGTTACTGGGTAAAATCCTTCTCGGGACGGACAACAAGGAGTCTTACCAGATCAGGCACATGCAACTGTAACCCCAACGTGGATTTTTTTTTTTTTTTAAGCAACAGAAACTTAAAAACGACAATTTAGTCATCTGTCCTCTCAGTTTTCAAGCAAAGAGCCAGTGTTATCTGTCTTTTCGCTGATGCATCCAGTTTGCCTTGGAGGGTCCGACTTTATCTTGTGCTGTCAGCAAAAGCAGACTTTGGGCAGCTGGTGGGAGGCACTTGAACGGGAAGCAGAAAAGGCTAATATTTTCAATCAGGACGAAGGCTAAGGATTTTAGGACTTAGATTTGAGAGAAAGGAATGTATGTATCAGATCTTTGAATGCCTGGGATTTTGAGGCACTTCTTGGGGACTGTGGTGCAGGACTCTGGTCGTTGTGATGTCATAGAAGACACTCCGGCCCCAGGACAGAATTTCTGAGCCGCCTCTGTACACTTTACTTTCTCATTTGTAAAATGGGAATAGGGTGTCCTCAGGGTTGCCACAGCAATCCAAAGAGCTATTAAATGATGAGATCTTTCCCAGCTCCCTGTGCGGATGGGTATGAATATGTGGATTTGTTCTCTGGAGTCACTGAAATCTCCTTAAACCTTCCCAAAGCTCTGAAGTCGTTATTCCCATTATACAGATGAAGAAACAGAGGCTTAGAGGAAAAAAAGTTGCCCGAGATCACACACTAGTAACAGGGCTGGGATGAGATTTCAGTTCTAATCCCCAAACATTCTGAAACAATGGGACGTGTGATTTTCCACTTCTCCCCAAAACAGTTAGCTGCTACTTTCAGTGGCTGCTCTTGTAGCTGAGGGCCCCAGGCCCTGTTTGAGTCATTGTGAGTCAATTCTTAGGGAAGCAAGCCTTAATTATCACTGGGAGACAGAAGGCTGCATCTTCCAGGAATTTGGCAGACCCCAGCAGGAGGCAACCACAGGTCTTTGGCAAAAGATCACTTTTCAACAACATTGTCAATCCCAGCGACCCCCAACCTTCCACCTGCAGGTCCCCGAACAGCTGCTGTTCTGTGGGAAGCAGGGGCAGTCTGTCTTCCTTTAAAAGGCAAATGCATACCCCCACTCCTTGCCCCTTGCTGAGATTCCACCTGGGATTTCAGCCCCAGAGCTGGGGGTCAGCTCCCACTTGGAGAAATTAAGGGGAGGGGAGGCGGTTGGGGGTGGGGAAGGACAGCTTTGACAACAGACCTGAACTCTCCCTTTTACTATAAGCCAGATTTCACATATGTCATTCTGTAAATCCGGGAGTCCAATTTTGAGGCTTGTAATTTGCTGCGACCTTCCCCGTTCCTCAAAGTGAGGTGGAGCTATGCCAAGCTCATCAAGGTAGCTGGTAGAAGATATCATTTGCCCGCTGTGAGCCTTCGTTTCGGTTCCCTATTGTTAATTTTTATTTGTGTTGAGGTTTTGTGGCTTTAAAAAAGTCAACTCAATTTATTTTAAAATTAAGGCAAACCAACATCAAAGGCAGTAAGAGGAAGATGTTTAGGTATTATAAAGAAACCCTGTGTAATCTTTTATAGCCATATTCTTTTTCAGGGCACGTATCAGTAAATAGTTAGGGGACCTTTCATGGCCCACTTGCTATATTTTTCTGACCTCTAGCCACCCCCACGGATGAAAATCCCTCTCCGATGGGGTTTAGAAGCCCCCACTCTCATCCTCCTCAGCCTTTCAATCTAATCCTGTTTGTACCACGACATGCTGCGTGAAGAATAAGAAACAGGGCTTACATTCTTTCCTACTGCACGAGCTCCTGAGATTGAAGAGGATGATTCCGCCCGTGTTCACGCTTAGATATGAGGAACACTTTCAGGCCAAAAACATGGGACAAAGTGGTTCATGAGTCATTTACTGGGTAAGCAGAAGAAAGTTTATGTTGAAAGTTTCTCTTAAAAAGAATGGCAGGTGAGGGCGCCTGGGTGGCTCAGTTGGTTAAGCGACTGCCTTCGGCTCAGGTCATGATCCTGGAGTCCCGGGATCGAGTCCCACATCGGGCTCC